TCGATCGACAGTCCCGCCAGGCACACGACCCTCCAATTCTGCCACCCGTCCGTCGTGTATCCGGCAGGGAAAGTCCCTCCAGGACACTCAGGCTCACCCGAGCCCAGACTTCTCGTTGAGAAAAGGGTGTCAATTGCATTCAGGGACATGTTGATCAAATCCATAATCCTTCTTTTAGTTTTTAGAGAACAGACTGTGAGAGACTGTTCCAGGGAAAGTAATACAAAAAACACAAGACAAGACAAGGACACAAGAGGCTAAGCAGGGAAGCTAAGAGAGGAGGAGGAGGAGAAAAGTGCGACCGCCTTCGTCAAGAGCCAGAGCAGAGAACTCCCCTTGTTATCCCACATGTCTGTATTGTCACAGTCTCCCTCTGATCATTATCATGCTGACTCAAAGCTTTGTTTTTCTGCTCCGTGGTTTCCTTAGATGTGTCTACTCTGATTCCTCGTTCCTGCAGGAGCTTTTGGTCTCTTGTTATTCCTGTGAATAATCAGCACTGAAGCAGGTTTTTGAGTTCAATTCTTCTCTCCTGCGGCCTGCGTTTGGGTCCACTTCCTGCCAACCACACAACTGAAACAAGAATGTTTACCAGCAGAAATGGATCAGTCAGGGGAAACACTAAAGTGAAACGACTGGTTAGTAAATCAAATAAAGCAGGAAGAAAGGAAAATATGACCTGGAGATCAGCTCTGTGTAAAAGTGACGAGGTACACCTTTTTCTAATTCAGCTTCCAAGCAGACAGACCTCATCGTAATTTTCAACGTGGTCATGAAGAATAATTCTCCAGTTTTCTGAAGATTTTTTGTTCAGAAAGTGTTTTTGTTTCGACTTTGATTTTTTTCAGCAACTTAACAGTGAATAATTAATTATCCATTAAATAATTTCCCCTAGAGATCAATAAAGTATTCTGATTCTGATCCATCCATTTTCAGCTTATCCAGTTCAGTGATGCAGGGAAGCTGGAGCCTGATGAAATATGAGCTCCCACCTGAAAGTGAAGATGCTGCTACTAGTGTGTAAAGCAGGAGGAAGTGAGAGAAGTTCAAATCCAGATCAGAGAGGAGGAGCAGAGATTCAGGGAGGAGCTGAGCTGTTACTGAACTAGAAGAGAGAGAAACCTCCACATTCAACAGAGTTCAGCACAAACCATAAACTTTACCTTCATTCAACATGTTGTCTTTGGACTATTTTGCACTTTCTTTACTGATTCTCACCATTCTAACAGGTACGTTACAATCTGTGTGTTTAAAGAAACACATTTGAATTGTGATGATTTATAAAAGAATCAAACATGTTTCTGTTCCTTTAGGTGTCAGCTGTGAAGATCTCACTCCAACCAACAAAGAAGTGTTCAGTGTAGAAGGCAGCACTGCTACTCTGTCCTATAGAT